ATTGCGATGAAATAATTAGATTTTATTACATTGCATAGGCCTGTTCCTGTGCCTAGGCATATGCCTTGACAGCAAACCCCATAATGCCACCCTCAAAAGACCATCATGAATCAGTTGGTATATACATTGTTTGCAACAGAGAGCCTAAGCAGCAGCTCTTACCCAATGATCCTGTTCAAGATATACCAAATAAGCCAATGATATCTCAGGCAACAAACCAGAAAAGTTGAGAATTTGGTATCCTGGGGGCCATTATTAAGTGCAATGAGTACTTTGTCTTAGTCGGCCTTTTTCAGTTTATCGGAGAGGTGAAAGCCTGTTTGTCTGTGCGAGTATGATATTGGTGTGGAATTTCATTATTTTAAATAAATCCTTCCCTTAGTTATCCTAGACTTATTTCCACTTCATATGGCCCATGTACTCCATTCGTTTGTTAAATTATTTTTCCTTCATTTTGGTCTGGGATATGCCAAAACATATCACTCTCTTAGGATGTTGAATTGTTGCCAATAATTATTGATTCACTAGAATGGCCGCCTGCATATAATTCATGGATCTACCCTGCCCATAAGACAACATACTATTTGTCGCTTGATGTAGCACCATAAATAATGACTTTAATATCGTATATTGCAATATCACCGGTTTGGTATAGTTCAACTGGTTTTTATCGGTCCGACCACCAACCAGTATGTGGACCAGCCCAAATAGGGTGGCCCGATCTGGTTCAGTATAATTATATTATTATTATTATTTTCTCTTTTAACTTTAACCCTACAATAGGGCTTGGCTTGTGCATTGCGACTCTCACGTCTTCACCCATCGCTACTCCCATGTCTGCTTGTCGCCCTCTGCTCGCCACCACCCATGCGCCCGTCGCCAACTACTAGTACACCTAGTACACCAACCATGGCCCATAATTGCAAACCTTGTGTAATATAATGATATAATGCACAAACAAAAAAAAACATAAGATTATGTAGTGTATTATATATTACTTTCTTACTGTTCTTGGAGGCTAAACAATAGATGCTGACATATCTTAATCTGCTAAAATCAAGACCAAGAGAGGAAAAGATAAAAAATCTACTTTCAGCTAATAGTATAGAAGTTTAGATTCTAACCATATGCGGGTGGATTTGCAATTATAGCATCGACTTTGAACGGAACATCGGTGCCAATATCAGGATCCTTACAAGCTGAAAGCAAGGAAAATATAATTTCTTTAATCTGATTCCGTTGGATAGGTATCTCCGATGGTGCAGAAGGTAAGAAACCTTTATTCTTAACCATATCTGAAAAAGTACCAATCCATGAGCTGAACTATCCGGAAATACATTTGTCAAACACATTTAATAACTAACTAAATTATTCACATACATTCAGCAAGAATTTTTGGATCTCCACCTAGAGGATAAAACTCCAAGCCAGCAGTTAAAACAAATTCCCTGAAATTTGCATGAGTTGCCAGCCTAACACGATGACCATAGGCCTGAAAGAAACTTATTTCATAATCATGGGGCAGTCATGTGGAACACAATGTCCAAAGAGGCTAAATGCTGAAAAAATGAAGTACATATAAATCAATAATACTGCCTTCTGAAAGTAATGAAAATCAAATGTCTGCGCATAAGGAAATGATGTCCAATATCAAAAGACAATGCTGACTAGACAAACATGAAGGACAATGCTGACAAGTATTCTTAGCCTTTGTTCTAATAGGACAAAAATATTTTTTATTTCTCCCATGTCTCAAATGCCCAAATGGGATACTCAAAATACTGGATCAAGATGTATAAAACTAGGAACTTTTGATGAGACCAACGATGCATAAGAAGAAAAATTAAAACCATGCACAAACAATTAACAAAGTTCCAGAGTGTTAAATAAAAATGACTATAAATCTCAAGGGGCACCATTTCGGGTACTGGATCCGTCTCGGAGATTTGTTAGATCTGTATGTACCAGGCTTATACCAGTGTACCGACACATGATACGTTCAGGCGTGTCAACAAGGACTCAAGCAATCCGTTTCTCGGTTGTCAGTTAGACCAATCCATACCATCCGCACCATACCGACTTGGGTGATACAACAAACGTTGATAAATCTTACTAGGCACTTCCGAAATTTAAATTGGAAAATTTCTTAATAAAAAATATGAAGTAAATCTACTTACTAAACACTGCCTGAACTAAGTTACAAATCCAAAATTAGACCGATGGTAATTGTTAGGATTTAGTAATACAGAAGAATACATCACAAATTAACTAACCTGCAAAAGTTTTCCAATAGCAACAAATGGTTGCACATCACCTCGTGTCCCAACAATAAGAATGACTATTTGCATCGGAGGTCGATACTGTAGATCAGGCAAATCTACTGGCTCTTCATCAACTGCTTCACCATATATATTCTCAGATCTCAAATTTATTGATTTGGTTTCAAAATTGCTTGGAACATCTACCACAACAGTCCCATCATCCTTCACTGTAGCTATTTGATTTAACGTCTTCATCCGCATCATATAAAATTAAAAGAAAAACCATAAAAATAGATAACAAAAAAGCCCAATATAACTGAAAAGATTCCCTTACAAAGACAACATGATGCAAGCTTTCCTTGATGACAAAAACATAACATTGCAATGTCATACAGTATAAGGACAAAACTAGTAAAGGAACTGAACTTATTCAGCTTAAGCCAAGTAGCTTGGACCACCCAGCTTTTAGTTAGAAGGAATAATTCAGAGCAAAAATAAAATTCTCATTGCCCACTACCCATTTGAGCAAAATGTACCATTTGGCATGCAAAAATGAAGTTCTCAGAATTTAACGAGCAACAAGCATAAATTGATTTATATTTTTCTTCTATCTCTTCTTTTTTCTTTTCTTTCCCTCTCTCATTTCAGATGGATGAGTACCAAGCCAGTCCAGTTCAGTGTCTAAAATCAATTAGTTATAAGCTTTGGTTATGGGCTTTTAGGCTTCTTCAGTTTAGAACCTGGGTTTATCTTGCCACAATACTCCATTAAAACTCGAGTGTTCCTACTGTAGCATATTCATCAAAGAAGTGGAGAAGTGGATATGAAAGGGGAGGAATAAATGAAACTTGCCACATCAGAGTTTCGTCGAATTGGTATCTCGCTAGTGCTTCACTTCTCTCCTACGTGGCTCAGTGGTCTCATTCCAGTTTGACCACCAAAGAAGAGGAGAAACAATACATGATAGAAGAAACAAATTAAGCGTTAACTATTTATTCTACCCTTTGGTTTTAATGCCTAGTAAATTAGATTTTTCCCTTTTTATTCTACCCCGAGGAAATTAATCCTTGATTTGGGGTGCATCTAAAGTCCAGTTCATGATCTATCTTCATGGATGAACTTACTGTCTGTTCTCTTATCATTAAATATGCTTAACCACACAATGAATAATAGGTTAGTTCTCCATCATGTCTATAAATTTTAAAACCAATCCATTTCCAATCTATTTTTCTCAGTTGGTCATCAATCTTTATTTGTGTATCAACATCTAGCTATGATGGCATTGATTTCCCATTGTTGGATGCTATAACCTACATAGCTGCAAAAAATGCCATACTTTCATGCTACAATGACTTTTGTTTTCCCATTGTTGGTTTGATCCTTTCTGTCATTGTGCATATTTGGCTTCATTTAGAGACATGCCCTAAGCCTATTTTGGCCACCATCCACCAATCCTTCAAAAGTACTTGGCTTCCATCTAGATTGTTCTATACCAAAAGGGTCCATCATCTCGGGAAATTTGTAAGTTACAACTTATAACAACATCATACGTTATGGAAATTTTTGTTCCAATTTTGAATATGCAAGTTTTCATAAATCAAGTGGCACTTATAAGTCAATTTGTACTGGAAACTTTCACTTTTTCCTTAAAGAAGCTCATGTCCAGATTGTCAATGGTTATATTGTGGCCTAAAGCAGTGATCAGCATTCCATCATGCTTGGAACATATTTCTCGGCCCTTCTCAAGCTCCCATTAGCACACTCTGAAGTCTTCTTATTGCAAACTTATTATCAGCATCACAGAGAACTTACTAACATAAGCCCCTGCAATATGTTCAATGTGACTAGACATAACACACCAGAAAGGAGGTGTTCAAATAATTAAGTCAAGGTGTCGTAAATTTTGAGTAAGACCAAAGAAATTATTAAAAATTTAAGGAAATGACATCTTACTATTCAAAGAGAAATTACTCTTGACAGAGCTAAATGGCAGGAAAAGACCCACATAACCAAAATTCAAATAGAAAATTTTGAATTAAAGGCTTCTTGTGGTGGATAATCATGCATAGGAGCTTTCGACTGTTAACTATGTTACATGTGGCTTCTAAGTTTTGAAGTCACTATCCAAAATTAATAACCATGATGAACAGTCTCTTAAGAGAACAAATACATTGAATATCTGGGAAGATGATATGGCTCACTGACCAGCTAAAAATGGACAGCAGTCATCCAATCCTTCCTCCCGTCTTCTTTTCTGCTGTCCTTTAAAATCTTTACTCTACTTCCAATCATAAATCAAAGTAAATATTCTGTGGCTTATAATTACAGGACAGAATTCAGCAATATAAATTAAAATTCATCAGTCTTGTTGACACATTTAAGAACTAAAATTATAATAACCAACCATCGATCTAATTCGTCTACAGGCAGCAGATCTAAAATCCACATTTAAGCATAACACCAACATAGTCTCTCACCAATTGCTAAAGCGCTGCATCTTCTTCTATTCTAACTGAGAAGATGGACCTAGGGTACCCCTCAAAATTTCTGCTTCATTTATTTTTTTAAAGCAGCAAACATGCCAAACAAGGTCGTGGTTAACTAGAGTAATAAAACTTAAAACTGTTCATGTAAAGAGAGATGCACAATAAGAATAATCTCTCAGCAATCAAAAGCTATACTAAAAAAATATCCTATAATATAAATATTAATACATCCCAGGAAATAAGGAAGGCCAAGAGGGTCAAACCTTTTGTTTGTCAGGAATCTTGTCGTCAAATAATTGGGCTGTTGGGTCATCATGTGGACTATTTTGCCCATGTTTCTCAGTTTTGGACCTTTCTAGATTTGGTCCTTCTGAGGAAGTCTCTGATTTTTCAGCATATTTTGTCCCTTTAGGCATTGTGCTTGCCCTAGGAAGATTTCTCTCGACTGAAACAACAGAAAGAGAATTTAGATGCTACATCACAGTATTAAAAATATATTTTCCACTTCTCAAGCTGTACAAAAGGAGCTACTATGCATTAGCAAATGTGGTGGTCTACATATTGCAGTATCATTCATCGGTAGCTCAGCATTTTTTAACAAATCAAAAGAGGAATAATCAAGATGTTGCAATTTGGCACCAAGAAGTAAGAAATTTACAAAGTGGCATTTCCATTTCTTCATCAGAAAATGAGTTCCCCTTGAACCCAGAATCGCTTTTTCTTGATATCGAACATAGTGCATGAAAGGAAACTTGCTATTGGACATTTATTTTCGACTTGGCATGGCACTATTCAAAAAAACTTTCGACATACTTCACTTCAATTATAATTATGAAAATCAATCCTACCTCTTCTAGTCCTGTGGTTTCCACACTTGAAGACTGAATACATCAAAAAATTTGTAAATGAAATGAATTAAAATAGAAAAAAAGACTTTTTTTTCTATTTTCCGTATGGGTTGCCCTGGAACCACTAATGTAAAAAAACACAAGTTTAGTCTCTGAACAGAGAGCACATCCCAATAAGTAACTTTATCTATAGAAGTCAGAAAATATAGAACAATCATAAAATAAATTTTGTTCAAACAGATACACTACCGATGCTCCACATTAAAAGGACATAATTGAAGTTAGCCAAGATGGAGAGCACCACTACCACTACCTATGACACATTCGACCAAGGTTAACCATAATAGTCATGAGGACTCTCTTGTTAAAACATACATATTTTCTCTCTATGAAATTTTAGCAAATCACACAATCTTTATATTCACAAATATATCAGTAGCAGATCTCAGTTCTATACTACCTGGTTGGTAACTAATGAGAATAATCTTCGTACAAGGAAAATGATAACTTGTCACATTTGTTCAAAAGAAAACTTACAAAGGAAGAACCTAAACTCACTGAAAAGCTGATGATGGTTCAATCAAGTCAAAACAACCTGTCTTGCGCGTGATGGTACCAGCTGGAAGATGTTATTCTAAGTGTACTAATATAAAAAAAATCATCTCTGATCTGGACAAAGACCATGATTAAAAAAGGGAAATAACCAAAGAACCGATCAACGATCACCGCTTGATAAGTTCTGCTCTTTAGAATGTTTTTTAGGTCAACAACATTTTCTTGGCAATTAAAAATCGCACTCCATCTAAAGAAAAATTTTCAGCGACTCTTGTCAATCTAGCACCAGCAGAAATCCAGCGCTACGACTAAAGCCAGTGTTCGGTGACTAGATATTTCTACATGTTTAGAAAATACTGTTTCCCAAATCTTGTTATTCGCTACAATAGGGTCGTTCTCGGACAATTCCCAGTTAGTTACGAGCCCTCTAATCGATACGGGAGACACCACCGCCGTAAATTACCTATCTATCCGGAACCGCTAGATTTCATTCCTCTTCCTAAATCACTCGTGACGCCTCAAAACCCATCAGAGTAACTGATACCAAACTCCGAAATCAGACCCTCGAACTAATTAGAACCTCCCGTTGTCACATCGGTTACATCAGAAACACCCGAGTATCAAAGAACGCAGCGACATAAACACGCCGGTGGAACTCCATGAAGAAATCAATCATTCAAACACCCCATCGGCATAGACAACAGTACGAAATCACGGGGCACCACAACCCGCGAATACGAACCCAACCAAGAAGAAGAAAGGGTCGCGAAAATTACCCGCGGGAGAGGAGGCGGATCCATCTTTGTCGCTCTCCCCCATGCTGTTGCTGTTCTCCGCCATTATTAAACGCCTCAAAATTGAGAAGCACCGGTGAGAGGAACAAAGAGGGAGTGGGGCATCGGGAATACGGTGCTCGCCAAGAAATAGTGAGACCGAGTGGGAATCGGCGCTATGTAATGATGCCTTTAGCCTCCGAGTATAGCAATCACCAACCGCCACTTACGAATATGAAATATGGATTATCTAAATGGGAAAGCATCTCTTCAAGATTGGTGCACCCATTTCAATAACGGACTTGGGTTTCTTAAACCGACGTGTCTATTTGCTGGGCCAGTCTATATCCTTCGATCGTTTCTTTTGATCTCAATCATCCGTCTGATGAAACAATGGACGGTTCTGATGGGCCTCTGAGAATTCGTGCTGTCTGAGGCACTCTTACTTGGAATTTGAGTTCGTCATTTAAAAAATAAAAAAACAATTCTATTAAAAGAAAACACTTATTCAGATACTTCAAAATTAAAGGACAGTATTCCTGAATCGAAAATTCCCTCAAACACAAGATCCTTCTATGAGTTCTTCCCTAAGCCTATGTGAATTCCTATTAGAGGCCTGGATTAATACTATTCTCTTGAGTTATTAGCCTACCTTCTTGGTGATAAACATAAGAAGGTATCTATCAACATGCACATATATATATATATATATATATATATATATATATATATATATTATATGAAAGATAAATGCATTATCAATAAAAAGGCAGACAAATGCAACATCAACAAAAAGGAAGACAAATGAATTATCAATAAAAAGGAAGACAAATGCAGTATTGTGCTTTATAGCATAAGGTCAAAAAATAATAATATTATTAAAACTATTCGATTCGGGAATTTTACCTTTCCCCATTTGTTAGAGGGAAGTGAGGATTTTATAGTAAGTAAATGATTTGACAAGAATATCAGCCTTGGAGTCATCATTTGGTTAGGTTGGGGACATTGACTCCAATCAATGATTGTTCTAAATCAAGGTTCGTCTTACCGTATCGTACCGACGTTTCGACTCAGGCTCGGTACGATACAGTACCGGTGTACCAAACGGTACATCAGGGCATACCAAGCGGTACACCATAATGTACCGAGTAATTTTATATTTTTTCATACTGTAACAATGTTACAATATATCATTGTTGCACTGTAGTTACGCTACAGTATAATACTGTAGCACTGTAGTGGTACCGGGCGATCCGCGTACCGGTAATCTGTCGGACCGGTAAGTACCGCCCGTACCGAGCGGTACATTTCGATATGACAGATCTTGTTCTAAACACAGATTGATTTTAAATATTATCATATTATTTGACAAAACAAGCTGATATGTCATTATGACCGGAGACTTGTTGACTATCAGTATCAATAATGTAATGGATAAATATGTTTTGTATCTCCTATTCCTAATCAGTCAGTAAAAGTATTTGGTATTTCTATATCCTCTTTCAATCCAAGATATCTTGGCTTTATTCTACCAAAGGAAAAGAGGTATTGTTGGTGGTTGAAAGCTTCCACCCTATTGTCTTGGATTTGAGTTTGTGGTTAGGTGCATGTTTCTTACTTACCTTGTGCTTGATAAAGTGGTTGCAATAGGTCCGAGTCAGTCAAGTCAACCAACTGTAAACTACCTTAAGCCGGGAATTGAGCTTTTCGCTTGGCCACCTAAAACGAAAAATACATAGCCTTCCTCTCTACTATAAAAGGCCAGAGGTCACCTCCTCGGCAATCACTTTGCCAACGCTATTTACTAGTAAGCCAACCTCCATTATACCATTTATCAAACTCATACATCAAATTGAGAATTTTCAGCAACCATTTTCCATGCTAAACTGGCAAATATGCACTGAAATAAAAGATGGCGAGCAAACTCATCGCAATAAAAGATTGTCAGCAACTCGAGGTCGGGTTTCGAGGAGGTAAGATCCATGAGACGACCTTTCTTTATCATTCTCAAGAGATGATTATAGCTTTGGATTCATCATCTCTTCTGAAAACGGTATAAAATTTGTATGAATTGAAGGTTCTTCTCTCCATCAGAACAATAGGGCCGATTGCTTGTCTGGGCTCTGCTTGTTGGTATCGTAATCCTACTTGATGATCCCTTTCTGCATGTATTCCTTTTGTCCACGATATTTCTAATAATAAACTTTGCAGGGAAAGATGATACGTAGGGATTTTATGTCTCGGGTTGATGAAACTGATGGATACGGTTTCAGAGAAAATGCCACATATCTCGAAGCTGTATACGTTGAAACTTCAAATTTACGTGGACGATTTTGATTTTGATTTTGATTTTGATTTCGAATTTGATGATCAGACAAGAAATCGCACGTACTATTGAATCCTATCGTAAGTATGCTATGTCTTTGAATCCTATCGTAAGAAATTCCTGTGAAATGCTTTGAAGAACCAATGCATTTTAATTTACGAGGAAAAGTGTAGATCTAAAGTCGTCATATTTCTAAGTTGAAATGGGCATCAATGACATTTTATGTAGCGTCAATCCGGATGAGGTGTCTCGTGTGTACTACGCTGACAGCCGCATTCATATAAGAAAGAATCGGATTGGCTTGTGCTTGGACGAGGGTCGCCGCCTACAGGCAACCGACATGGACCACCTCCACCGCTTGCCTCCGCCTCTCGCCAGCTTCGCCGCCTCATGGTCTTTGCCTTGGCAACCTCAGGTATCTTCCCTCTTCTTCTCCTCCTCCTCCGACCTCTCGAAACTAGAGCTTGTATCCATGATAGGTTGGAATGCATGGCAGGAAGCGGACGGAGTCGCGACGGCAGAGGAGCTGAAGCAAGCGCTCCTCCGGACGACCCTGGAGCTCGAGTCCACTCGCGCCACGGCCAAGGAGGAGCTCCGGAGGATGGAGTCCCGGGCCCTCCACTTCTCCCGCCTGCTCGAAGCCGTCACCCGAGAGCGCGACGAGGCCCGCCACGCCCTCCTCCTCCTCCTCCTTCACCACACCGCCCGCGGTCAACCACTCCAGGAACCCAAGCCCAACCTCGGCCCCAACTTGGCTTTGGACGAGGGGACTGACGTCGCGGAGGCGGCGGCGGCGGCGGCTGCTACTGCTGCCGCGGAGGACGTGGTTGAGAGAAGCAACCGGGCGTCTTCGGCGGTGGCGGAGGTGGAGTTGGCGGCAGTGAGGAGGGCCCTGCCGGAAAAGGGGCGACTGGTGGAGGCGGTGATGGGTGCGGGGCCGCTGTTGTTGTTGGGTCCAATCCATATGAGCTTGGATAATTGGGCATATTGAACCCAAATCAGCCGATGAAAGAAATTAAAAAGATGAGAGAAGGTGAGGAAAATAGATCAAAATGCGCGTGCAGCGTGCGGTGGCGGAGAGAGAGAAAGAAAGTGAGGAGAGAGAAGGTGAGGAAAATAGATCAAAATGAGCGTGCAGCGTGCGGTGACGGAGAGAGAAAGTAAGGTTTGTGAGTTTTCTGCTTGACGATCGGTGGTCGAACATTGTCAATTTCGATCCAAATTTTATGTGGAGAATCCTTGCAGCAAACTCTACAATCCTAACGGTGTTGATATATAGTTTACCCTCTCTAAGGTACTTTCCTGCGATATCTACTTTATGAGATAGAGAATTCTTTTTCCTTGCAGCAAACTCTACAATCCTAACGGTGTTGATATACAGTTTACCCTCTCTAAGGTACTTTCCTGCGATATCTACTTTATGAGACATAGAATTCTTTTTGGAGGAGATCTATCCATGTGATGAAGATATGTTATTCTTGAGCCAAGATCTATGTTCTTGATGTTATTATGATCCTCTTGTTATTCTAGAGAAGACCTACTATAAACCTGTTATCAGTATTATTGATAGTGGAAGTTTGAGGTGGACTACGGTCCCGTGGTTTTTCCCACATTGAGTTTTCCACGTTAAAAGATTTGGTCTCACTGTGTGATTGATTTTTGCTCTGCTATTTATGCTGTGCTGGTTAATATTTTCATTTGGATACCAAGTTAGTATTTTGATGAGGAACCCATTTTGATACACAGAGAGGGAAAAGAATATTTCGCTTTAACAGGTTTCTTCCCAACAAGTGGTATTAGAGCGTCAGGTTGTTTGGTGCTAGTTTTCTTGTGTGATTGAAATGGAACAGTCAGATGGTATGATTAAATTGAACTCATCAAATTATTCCACTTGGAGGCGTCTGATGGAAGATTTGCTCTATTGCAAAGATTTATATAAGTCTATCAAGGTTAAAGATAAACCTTCTACTATGGACGATGAAGAATGGGAAGTTCAACATAGAAAAGCTATTGCCTATATTAGAAGATGGATGGATATAAACTTGCATGAGCATATTTCAGATGAAACCAGAGCTGATGTTGTTTGGCAAAGGTTAGAAAACCTCTTTACGAAAAAGACAGTGGGAAATAGAATTTCTCTCCTTAGAAGGCTTGTAAATTTGAAGTATAAAGATGATAGTAACATTGTTGAACACATAAGCCTATTTCAGAGTCTTGCAAACAAGTTGATTGCTATGAAAATGAATATAGATGATGAGATGCAAGGATTATTTTTCCTTAGCTCTTTACCAGAAAGTTGGGAAACGTATGTGGTGACTATTTGTAACTCCACGCCAGAGGGGACTCTAACCATAGATATGGTTAAAGACAGTTTGCTAAATGAAGATGCCAGAAGGAAAGAACAGGGTGAATCTTCTTCTGGTGTATTTGTTACTGAAAAACAAGAAAGACGTGGAAGAAGTCATAGCAGAAATCCATATGGTTATAGAGGAAGATCCAAGTCTAGAAGAGATATCAAATGTTTTCATTGTAACAAGCCAGGTCACATGAAGAAAGAGTGTAGGTTTTGGAAGCGAGAACAGAATGAAATGAAAAAAAATGAGAAAGAGACCAGACCAATACAGTTGCTGCTGAAGGTAATATCACTATTGTTTGTGATGAAGGTTGTGTTAGCCTTGTAGCTCAGGACAGTAGCTGGGTAATTGATTCTAGTGCTTCATTTCATGTCACTTCTCATGGTGATTTCTTTAGATCTTACACTATTGGTGATTTTGGTAATGTCAGAATGGGAAACAATGGTACATCTAAGATTATGGGTATTGGAGATATTTGCTTGGAGACCAGTATTAGGAGCAAATTAATACTCAAAGATGTAAGGCATGTTCCAGATATTCGTCTTAACTTGATATCTATAGGCAGACTTGATGATGAGGGATTTGCACACTATTTTGGTGAAAGCAAATGGAAACATACTAAAGGTTCTCTGATTGTGGCAAAAGGAAAGAAGATTAACTCTTTTTATGTCATGGAAGCTAAGCTACACAAAGGAGAGATTAATGCAATTCGAAAAGGTGAAAGTATAGATCTTTGGCATAAGAGGCTTGGACATATCAGCGAGAAGGGACTTCAAACTCTTGCTAGAAAGCAGTTCTTACCAGAGTTGCAAAGTATATCTCTTAAATCTTGTGATCATTGCTTAGTTGGAAAAACACATAGAGTTGCATTTCAGACATATCCATCATCTAGAAGATCAGATGTTATTGATTTAGTTCATACTGATGTTTGTACTATGCAAACTAGAACTTTTGGAGGTGCTCTTTATTTTGTTACTTTTATTGATGACTATTCTAGAAAAGTGTGGGCTTTTGCTTTGAAATCTAAAGACCAGGTACTCGATGCTTTCAAGGAGTTTCACGTCACTGTTGAAAGAGAAACTGGCAGAAAACTAAAGTGTATTCGATCAGATAATGGTGGCGAGTACAGGGGTCCTTTTGAGAATTATTGCAGGTTTCATGGCATCAGGCTTGAGAAAACAGTTCCTAAAACTCCTCAGCAGAACGGTGTGGCAGAAAGGATGAACAGAACGATTGAAGAAAGGATTAGATGTATGCTTTCTCATGCCAAGTTACCGAAGTCATTTTGGGGGGAGGCTATGAGAACTACAGTTGACCTGATAAATCTTTCTCCATCAGTTCCTCTGCAAGGTGATGTTCCAGAGAGAGTATGGAGAGGAAAAGATATATCTTATAATCATTTGAGAGTCTTTGGGTATAAAGCATTTGTTCATATTCCCAAAGATGAGAGGTCTAAGCTTGATAGTAAAGCAAAAGCATGTTTCTTCTTGGGATATGGTCATGAAGAGTTTGGGTACAAATTATGGGATCCAGTGAACAAGAAGATTATTAGAAGCAGAGATGTTGTGTTGAAGACCAATTGTTTGATGATGGTGATAATGTTGAGAAGCCAGAAACCTCTGTTTATATTCCTTGGAGTTTGGGTCCAGTTCCTTCACTTGTAGTTCATGATGATCATGGGGGAGATGAACAAGAAGATTGTGGTGAGAATACTAGTGATGATACACCTACAGTTGATGATGCTGAACCAACTAAACAGGCACCTCCACCACCAGTTGAGATTCCATTGAGAAGATCCACTAGAGAGCGACAACCCTCTACCAGATATCTTCCACATGAGTATGTTATGCTTACTGACGAGGGAGAGCCAGAAACTTACCAAGAAGCTATTCTGCATGAGAATAAGAGTGAGTGGGTTAAAGTCATGCAAGAAGAGATGAGAACCATACCTATGACTTGGTAAGATTGCCTAAAGAGAAGAAAGCTCTCAAGAATAAGTGGGTTTACAAATTGAAGACTGAAAGCAATAGCTCACAACAGAGATACAAGGCACGACTAGTTATGAAAGGATTCAGTCAGAAGAAAGGTATTGACTTTGAAGAAATATTTTCTCCGGTTGTAAAAATGTCTTCTATCCGAGTTGTTCTTGGTTTGGCTGCCCGCTTGAATTTAGAAGTTGAGCAACTTGATGTAAAAACAGCATTTCTTCATGGTGACTTAGAAGAAGAAATTTACATGGAGCAACCAGAAGGTTTCAAAGTCAAGGGAAAAGAAAATCTGGTATGTAAGCTTAGGAAAAGCTTATATGGACTCAAACATGCACCTAGACAGTGGTATAAGAAGTTTGATTCCTTTATGATGAGCCAAGGGTATGATAGAACCACATCTGATCATTGTGTGTTTATGAAGAAATTTTCAGATGATGATTTTATTATTTTATTACTATATGTTGATGATATGTTGCTTGTTGGCCATGATGTTGGAAAAATTGAAAAGCTTAAAAGAGAGCTAAGTAAGTCTTTTGCCATGAAAGACTTGTGATCGGTGAGACAAATACTTGGTATGAAGATTCTTCGTGATAGGAAGAAAAGGAAGATTTGGCTATCTCAGGAGACTTACATTGAAAAGGTTCTTGAAAGATTCAACATGAGTAAAGCCAAAGCAGTTTGTTCTCCACTTGCAGGTCATTTCAAGCTTAGTTCGAAACAATGTCCTACAAGTGAGAAAGAAAAAGAAGAAATGTCCAGAGTGCCTTACTCATCTGTAGTAGGCAGTTTGATGTATGCTATGGTTTGTACGAGGCCAGATATAGCTCATGCAGTTGGAGTTGTCAGTCGATTTCTCTCTAATCCTGGAAAGGAACATTGGGTAGCAGTGAAATGGATATTAAGATATCTAAGAGGTACTTCCAGGTTATGTTTATGTTTTGGTAATGATGAACCTGTGTTAGAAGGGTACACAG